ACTAAAGACGGATCTATAATGATTGATGCAAACGGAGACTGGGAAAAAAAAAGTCCAGATGAATGTTAGAAAAGAGGCAAACAAACATATAATATGCATTAAAAAAATATTGAAATAAACATCTTATTGCGATCTGATTATTGTATTATGGTAAAATAGCATTCTTGCAAAAATTTTGCTTCTTAAGGGTGTTCTGAGATAGCCGCCCTTTATATTTAAAATCTTTATCAAAAAGAAAAAGTACTCGTATTGGAGTGCACAAATGGACAAAATAAAACACTATTGATATCTTGCGAATCACAGTTGATGAAGAAGGAAGTAAGAACATTAAAAACATGTTTCATTGTGAGAGAAAACAGAAAAATGTGTATTGGAAACACTTTCAAGTTTCAATCTGCAAATCAGAGAGGTTCTGGTGTTCCGTATATCCACGTTATATAATTATATTTTGCCAGATTTTTCAATAGCGTTTTCGGTTCATTTCCTTGATTTATTTATTTTCGACCCTGTATGCCAATACGTTTTGTTTCCTTTTTTGAAAAGGATTGCTAAAATAAATATTAAATGTGTGTTAATTCGTCGTAATTAAATCCCAACTTCGGTACATTTTGAAAGAACACCATCTACCTTTATTTAGTAACGACTACTACACAAAAGTGTTGCCATGCAGAGACAAGTAAGTTATTTTATTTAATCTCGTACCGGCGTGCAACATCCTCCCGCCCTGGTCGATCTCCAAGGGGATGACAAGCTGCACGGGCCGGGAAATTGTCCCTCCATTTACTCGCAGTATGCATGTACGGGCTTTGTTGTCAAGGCCTAAGATCACTGACTCGACTCGTGCTTTCCTGCAGGTGTGCCGAGGTCTGACGTCCTGCAGCAACAAGACCACATCTCCGACCCGGATTTCAGTTCCTTTAGGTGGGTTCTTCACATGGTGAAATGTTCTCAAGTCCATCAAATACTCCCTCTGACACAGAGGCGGATGAAGAAATTTTTCCTAGGGAGGGTCATAGACTCAGATTTCCCCCCCCCTCCCAATTATTAATTTTAAAAAAAATTTTAATATTTTTTTTTTTACAAAAAAATAAACGGATTTTTAATGCTAGTCTTCTCATTTATTTTTTTCATAATGAACAATAGAAAAATACATAAATAATTCAAGTATTCAGCATCTTTAAATAATAAATGTAATGCGTTTTTTAGAAACTTTGGCGAATCTGCCAATGATTTTTTCAATATCCAAATCAATTTCTCGATGAATGTTTAATAATTAATGTTTAATAATTAATAATTCATTAATATTTACAATGAAACTATGACGAATTTCGTTTTAATCTTTCGGATTATGATTCTTGAAACAGTGAAGAACATAATTAGATTAAGGAAAATTGATTTTTCCGACCTACCTAGGTGCATATGCCTCCTTAAATAATTTTTAAAATGTTTTATTTCTTTTGTAAACTATTAAAAAAAAATTTTTTTTTTTCAATTTTGATTTTTTTTTTCTCCAATTTTTTAAAGAAAAATGTTTTTAAAGTACTTTCATTCAAAAAGATGCCAAATATTTTCTCTTGAAGCAATTTATAATCAGTTCACATTTTCGCAAACTGCTTCATTTTTGTTAGCTCAGATCATTATACTACATCTGAATACTATTTCTGTTTGTAGAAATGCTAATGACAATAGAGCTGTGTGCACGCCCGATTAAGGTCAAAACTCATACACTTTCTAAAATATATTTAACTAGGAGGCTTCGCCCCCTGCTCGCTGGCGCTCGCCAACCCCCGGAACTGCTTTCGCAGTTCATTTCGGATTGCTTCGCAATCCGATGCTCGCTTTGCTCGCTCATTGGATACGTTCTTAACGTCTAGCTTTTGTATACTTTTTTGAACCCTGAAGTTCCGAAAACCTCTCACTATAGAAAATTCTATACCTGTGCATTTCAATATTAATTTGAAATTGCAAACAGTTCACATATTTTTCTTAATCACACTATTCTAAATTTCAGTTGTTGAGAAAAGTAACTTTTGTAAGTTTTGTTTTAAAGTCTTTCCCACCAGAGGGCTAAAACCATGTGTTGTAAAACAATATGAAATAGTACTGAACGCCGGATGTAAAGCAACGGCTTAGATGAAGATAATTTTGTGAGAATTTTTTTGATAATTCGGTGAGAATTCACCCGATTAGACATATGATATGCTCACTACGTGCTCTTGCGCGCCGAATCCTATCTTTTAAAACGCATTAGCGTTTTATATAATATAGATTAGCCATATGATGCTCACTGTGCTCACCAGGCAAACCTGCACCTGATCATTTGCCTAGCACCTGATCATTTGCTGACCTGTATGGGACAGGGGAAAAATTTTATTTTGGAGGATCCGCAGATGGTGTTTGATTTTCTGTCGGTGAACGGTCTCCTGGACTTGGTCTAGCCTTGTTCTGGGCCAAGAGGAATAAGTACCACCACCATGATGCTCACCACGTGCTCTTGCGGGCCGAAGCCTTTCAATTAAAAATGAAAACTGTTGCCAACGCGAGAAAAGAAATATCATCGATTTTATTGATACATACGTATTAGCGTTTTATATAATATAGATAGATATTAAAACTGCATTCAACTCATAACTAATAATATAACAAAACGTGGAATAGTAAAGTGCTCAATTCAAAATAATTCAAAATAAAATAGCAATAGCATAACACTTCTCATTTCTGCCAATGAAAAGGAACTATTTCAGTACTCATAACCAACCAACCGTTTTTTTCTCGGTGACAATCGAAGATAGATAGACATATGATGCTCACTACGTGCTCTTGCGCGCCGAAGCCTATCAATTAAAACGTATTAGCGTTTTATATAACATGGATTAGCCATATGATGCTCACTACGTGCTCTTGCGCGCCGAATCCAATCAATTAAAAATGAAAACTGTTGCCAGCGCGAGAAAAGAAATATCATCGGTTTTATTGATACATACGTACGTATTAGCGTTTTATATAATAAGATTGCTGTTTCAATTTTGAACAAAGGCTTACGATTGTTAAATACATATAGCGACAAATTCAGTGAAAAACAGCAGAAAATTATTCATAAGCAATCATAACTCAAAAAACTGAGATAGAACATTTGTATTTTTGTGATTTTTATGAAAATCCTTTATGTCCCAATATTATTTCCAGTCACAATGAAATGTCTTATTTTAATATTTTAGGAGCTCTATTTTACTCCATGTCTAAAGAAGTACCTGAAATGTATTTAAATGATTAAAAAATGCTTCATAATAATTCGCAGATGATTTAGTAACTTCAGTTAATTAAATTTTATTTAAGTGTCTTCTTTCAATTTTTCGTTATGATCAAATGACGAAGAAAATGTTCTTGGTGTGACAGTACTTATAGTTTTAAAGGAATGCGGTTTTCTACGAAACAGAGCTTTTTGATTTGAAAGGCACTAAATGTAGGTGATATTTTGTCTCTTGGATTTTTGAATCTTCGTAGTCAAGTAATATCAATGATATCTAAAATTTTTAAATTAAAAGGATTTATAGTAGGGGAGAGTGGGGTCAATTGTAACAGGGTACGATTGTAACAGAGCAAAAATCTCGAGTGTCGGGTTCTAGATTTGGTTCCTAGGTGGCGCACAAGGTGTATTTAACAAATCTACATGTACAGCCCTGATGGCAACCATTTTTATGAACTTTTGAAAGAGTTACATTGCAAAAGATATTTTCACGCCACGCAAGTACTTTTTTTGGTATTAGAATACTATATTGTAACAAAGTAATTTTGTTTAAACAAATAAAAATTAGTAACCGAATATGTAAGTGGACACCTTAATTAACATTTCAATAAAAAAAAGATTAGTTTTGCTAATTAACTAGCATTGTTTTTAACAAATGAAGCTGAAATGGCGTCTTGGGGACAATTGTAACAATAAGTAAAGGGACGATTGTAACAGTTGAAAATAAATAATCTTATGTTTACAAACCATTACTTAACTCTTTAAGAGCCACCAATAGTTTCCTATAGCATTTATATTATGTTGCATGTGCATTATTTTATTTGTCACCTTTTACAGCATAAATTAAAATTTTTAACCACTTAAAGTTAAAAGTTTAACCCTTTAGGTCTCTGCTCATTATTATTTTTACTCCTAAAATATCACTACTATTTTGATCAATAAAAAATATATATCACAACTATGTTAATATGTATAATTAACTATGTTTTAGTTGAATTTATGAACTGTTACAATTGACCCCGTAAGTGGGGACAATTGTAACAAGTGCACGATTGTCAAAAATTGTTAATAACTAATATAATAATATTTAAAATCAGATATTTATTTTTCTTCTAGTAGAGGATAGTCTACTTTACACGTCTGTCAATAAATACTAATAATATATTGGATTTTTTGTTAGTTAAAAATAGTTAAGTAAAAAATGTTACAATTGACCCCACTCTCCCCTATTGTTTACATCATTGACATGGAAAAGGATTTATTAAATAATTACAATTCCCATATCAAACTAAAATTAATTCATTACGTTTAATTAAGGAGGTTACTCATTCCAATTTTCAAAATCATTTTAACGTTTTCCCGCTTGTTTTACTTAAAGTGAGATGTTAATGTGAGATTTTATTTTACACATGACGTTGAACAGACGACTCGATTCTGAGTTTACAACAACCGGTGTTTAATTCAGCAGCCTTGTAATGTTAAACCCAACCCAGAAAACAAAAGAACATCTGAATCAAGTATTGGGACAAACTATCCTTCGTGGAGGGACTTTTTGATGGAAATATCCCGCATTTGAGCTACATGGAAAGGAAAAACCATGATAACCACCCAAGGTTAGTCCGACAGCGAGGGGATTCTTACACATGATCCGTCTTCCACTGAGGGTATTTTATGTCAGCGCAGTTGTCGGTGCAAACCGTGAGCAGAATTCGTATCAACCAGCCACCGTTCGGATTCGAATTTGAGAGTTACTTCATTGGAAGGCAAATGCTTTTTCTCTGAACCACTCTGGCTCGATCTGAATTTGACGGAACATTTTCTCAATGTCACTGGTTAGTGCAACAGGATAGCATCTGAATTTTAAGAGAACATTAAATAGTTCCTCTTGTAGTTTCGGACCAAAATGAAGAACGTCATTAAGAGAAATGCCTGCCTCGGATTTTGCAGATGCATCAAAGACAACACGCAATTTGGTTGTCTCACTCTCTTCTCGAATGATACCAAAATGTGGCAAATAGAAGCACTCTGAAGTTGGTTTGGAAAATTCATAATTCGGAACAAGTTGCACATGTCCCAGATCTTGATATTCCCTTATGAAATTAATGCATTGATTTCTGAATTTAGGGTTATCGCGAAACCTTTCTTCCAATGAAAAAAATCGCTGTTTTGCCTGATTCCGAGAATTTCCTAAAATTCTATCCTTCTTATAAGGCAAATTAACTATGTATCTACCATCACAATTTCTTTTTGTTGCTTGAAGGTAGAAATTTTCGACTTTTTGATCATCGATAGATAAGGTTGTAGCATTTGGGACAGATTCGATTTCCAAGAATTTGTTCATAACATTATCTAATTCCACTAATGCATTGTTTCTCAACGGGGGCGGTGGGAGTATGCCGAGGGGTGGTGGACTTGTTTTGGGCTCTAGTGAGGCGTTTGGTATGTTTTGGGCAGTAGGAGGGGGGCGATAAGTACGTTTTGTTATTCAAATTTAACTTTATAACTCCTAAATAAAATTATTAAATTAAGATTTATATAATGAATAAAATTAATCTAAAATTAATATAAAAGAAAAAAGATTAAATTAATATAATAAACTAAGATTATCTGATACACCATTTGTACCACCAATAAAACGAACTTATGCGGCACCTATCCTCCGATCCGAACCAGCACAGCGTAGCGCAGGAGTCAGTAGTTTTTGCCTCTGACTCATTCAAGCCATTTAGTGAAAATTGAAGTGCATGCGCTTTTAGTATGAAGTCTCGATTTGATGCAAACTTTTGATATCCAACGAATTTTCCTTTCAAGTTGATGAATCAACCTTGCCAAGTAATTCAGGCTTTACTGTTGGCGTATGTCCGGTTTGTGAAGGAAACAAAAATTATTCAGGAGATGCTTTTTGCTTTATTGTAGATACCAAAGGTGAATCTATTTTCAATGGTGTCAAATGTTATTTTAATGAACAAAACATTCCTCTTGGAAATATTTTGCATACTGTCACTGACGGAGCTCCTGCAATAGTGGATTGACAGATTGGGTTTATCGCCGTTTTGAAGAGGGAGTTATCAGATATTTTAGCTGTTCACTGCGTGATTTACAGACAGCATTTAGAAGGAAAAAATAAAAGCGACAGTTGGCATCAGTCTTAGCAATGTGTTATACCTGCTGTGAACAAAATTAGCAGTAATGTTCTCAAAGATTGATTATTCAAGCAGCTATGTAAGAAAAACGATGAAGAATATCACTTGCTCCTACACACCGAGATTCACTGGCTTTCCAAATGTGAATGTCTCAATAGGTTTTAGAATCTTTTCGACTCTGTTCTTGAGTTATGGCTTTAATTTACAACTTCAAGTCAACGAGCTCAATTTGATCCCTACAAAATCAGCTATTTCTACCTTTCTAAGATAACTCATTTTGTGGAGGCAGAATTTTGGTGGGAATGAGTTCAGCTAATTTCCAATCTTATCATATCTCAAAAAGAAAGACGAAATTACCTCTGATGATGCACAAGAATATTGTCAGCACCTTGACTCTTTGCACATGGACTTTTCTGTCTATTTCAATGATATTTTGTTCCTGGAAGTCCCTCAATGGGTTATGAACCCTTTTGTGAATATTGAAACAACAGAGGTTCAGATTCAGGAGGAATTGGTTGAACTTTAAACTAATGAAGCTTTGAAATGGTGATCGTCTCACAAAAGTTTGGCTTTCCTTGAAGCCAAACTTTTGTGAGACGATAAACGTCAGTCGTCTCTACCCTGGACTGTAGAATATCGCCAAAATTTTTTTAATCGGCCTTCCTTTCTCCACCTTTTCGAACGTAGATTCAGTGTTATCTAGTCACAAAATAGAGAAATCGACTCGAGATCGTGCTACGAAGGGACTTGCGTCTTCACCTCACTAAAAATATTGAACCGAACGTTATACTGATATAGTTACTTGATTGTTTCGTTGATACTACTTTTTAATGTAAAAAAAATGTTTTGGGTGTTTTTTTAACTATTTAATTAAGAATAAATGACACTATTTTTTGTTGTATTTTTTTTTTAATTTCCGTTACCGTATTTATTTTGATTATGACAAATAGTCTGCGATCATCCGCCGGGATAAAAGTATCGAAATAACGTGCACATTAATTAAAAAAAGGAAAAGAAAACAAATTTAACGCGTAAAAAACTGGATTTTCACAAAGGGAGGCAATGTTTTTTGCTCTTTAATGGGCGGCAACGTTAAGAAAGTTGAGAATATATGCACTAATGCATGGCAATTAATTAATGACATACTCTTTCTTTCACTCCTAGAATCAGTAGAAATTCGACCGGACAGTAACCAACCTCGTTTCGAATTTAAAGCAGATGGTTGATTTTGGATCCCTGAAATTTTTCCATTTTGAATTAAATCAAATAATATGTCAACGCCCAGGATTATATCAATAGGTCGACTGATATAGAAAGTAGGATCTGCTAGTTTCAATCCTTGAATGTGAGGCCAATCAAATTCTGATATTTCAAAGTTAGGCAGATTACAGGTCAGATTTTTGACAACAAGAGCATTTACATTAATCTCTTCACTAGAATACGACGAAAAGTTCAAAGCGACCTTTCTAGTTGCAAGAGCAGTAACTTTATCAACTAATCCTAAAATTGCGTTTTCAGATATTTGACATTGAAGATTTAAATTCTTGCAACATGATTCCGTGATTAAAGAAGCTTGAGAACTCCCATCAATTAAAGCGAGACAGTTTACATATTGTTCCCGACTATTTTTATCTATCAGATTTATGATTGATGATTGACATTTCAGGAGAAAAATCGATCAGCTTTGATTTCAATGGCAATCAAACATATAACTGAATCTTTTTAATGTCATTAAAATAAAAGTTTTTCATTGAAATTGTTGTCCATCTGTTGGCGAAAAGTTTTATGAACTGAACACGGTAAATTACAAAAGTATTCACCAATTTTCGAAAGTATTCAACAAATGCAAATCCTAACCATTTTCCATGGCTAATTTTTTTTTCCCAAAGAAAACTATTTTAAGGTAGTATGTCTCTGGCTTATATTATTTGGACCCAATTCTAATTGGTAACGCAGCGCATCTATCGGATATTACTGAAATCGAATTTTTAAAAAAATCTGATTTGTTTAGAAAAATTCGTTTTGACGTAATTTTGACGATCGAGTTAAATATATATTTTTTTTCTTTCCAGGGAAAAGATCATTCGCCAATACTTTTTCCAAGACTTAATTTTATTCGCCAAATTTGCGATTTTATGGTATTTGTAGAGGTGGCGAATGCTTAGAGCGGACCCTGGAATGTATTATTAGATATAGAACTTATGTTACGTTATTTCCATGGAGAAATTAATGTCTTTATATATTAAAAAATGAAAGGAGACTATGGAAGTATTTCAACGATTAAATTTCAACAGGAGCAAAGTGTACTCAGAAAAGCATTTCAATAACTATTGTTTTTCCATTTCGAAACTTAACATTGCATTTTTATAAATCAGATAGTCTATTTACAAGGACAGGCTTTGTTCACTCTTTCTCCTTTAGGATTTACACATTAGCACCGGCCAAAGCTTCCATATTTGCTGATGTGGGGAATTAATTATCGACTATGTCAACCTTCATCCATCAAAAGGTACCTCTCGACAGAGTCAAGTTAACATGTCTTATATACCAGTGATTTGGCATTTAATATTTATAGTGGTAATTACGCCACATTACTCCTTTTCCAGAATTTTATCTGTGATGGAATTCGATGAACGGATACCATTAATTGATTTATGCTGGTTTATTTATTTATATTAATTTTGTTCATTAATTTTTGTTTTATATCATTTCGCTCATTTTTTTCTTCAATATTGTTTATTGACCGGGAGACTTTATTTACTTCACCGGATTTTTTTTTTTTTTTTTTTTTTTTTTTTTTTTTNTACCTCTATTTAGAATCAAGTTAACATGTCTTACATACCAGTGATTTGGTATTTAATATTTATAGTGGTAGTTACGCCACAGTGAGAAGCGCGTGTACCACCTGTCAATGTTCATCTATCAAAAGGTACCTCTATTTAGAATCAAGTTAACATGTCTTACATACCAGTGATTTGGTATTTAATATTTATAGTGGTAGTTAGGCCACACTGAGAAGCGCATGTACCACCTGTCAATGTTCATCTATCAAAAGGTACCTCTATTTAGAATCAAGTTAACATGTCTTACATACCAGTGATTTGGTATTTAATATTTATAGTGGTAGTTACGCCACAGTGAGAAGCGCATGTACCACCTGTCAATGTTCATCTATCAAAAGGTACCTCTATTTAGAATCAAGTTAACATGTCTTACATACCAGTGATTTGGTATTTAATATTTATAGTGGTAGTTACGCCACACTGAGAAACGCATGTACCACCTGTCAATGTTCATCTATCAAAAGGTACCTCTATTTAGAATCAAGTTAACATGTCTTACATACCAGTGATTTGGTATTTAATATTTATAGTGGTAGTTACGCCACACTGAGAAACGCATGTACCACCTGTCAATGTTCATCTATCAAAAGGTACCTCTATTTAGAATCAAGTTAACATGTCTTACATACCAGTGATTTGGTATTTAATATTTATAGTGGTAGTTACGCCACACTGACAAGCGTATGTACCATCTGCGTTACACGCAGTAACAGGAATGTCTTGAAAACCCTGTTTAACTGAAAGTTTTGAAAGGAAGGTTATGTCTAGATATTAAAAAGAAAAAAAATTCTTCATAAATTCATAAAGAAAGTACAGTTCTCAAAATAAAAACGATATCACCCTGAACGCCTTTTGTTTTAATAAACGGATTTTTTGCGAAATAACTGCTATCTCAAATATGCTAATTAATTAGGATTAACTAATAAATTATGAAAACCTTGCAGAATCAAACACAAAAACGTACATTCTCTGAATGAATATACTGTTGCTCCCCACGATATGAAATTTGATTTTTTTAGATAGGAGGTGGGAGTGGGGAGAGAAATCGCAATCTAGGAAGCATGGTTCTGATTGTTAACTAAAAATAAACGTAGATCATACAGGGTGTGTGCAAATAGTTCGGAATTGGTCAAATATCTTGAGAAATATACATCGGACTGAAAGAGTTAAAATAGTCGCATTTAATTTATTTTTACAAGCTATACAAATTAAACTCGATCCCACTCCCCTGGTGCCGGGGGTGATTCTTAATTATGAACCCCTATTTCTTATTTCAGATTTAAATTCTACAGAAAAATGTAATCGTACAACCCTAATTGAGTTACATTCCATTTTGCTTTGCAGATGACGCTGTA